GAACAATAGTGTTCAGGGCTTCTTGTTTATCTTACTGCCTGTAATGAACGGATATGGTAGTTATTGAGCTTTGATATTAAATAATGCTTTTGAAAGTTTCGAGTGTTGTATATATTATCAGAAGTCGGGATGTTGCATCGACTTGGGACTCTTCGGAGAAATGTACTTTAGCCAGTCCCATGTATTGCCTCTTGTGTAGCCTATATACATGTACATTGCAACTCTATAGTGGTGTCAGGGGGCTCCTCTGGCTGTGTATAATTTTCTGTTGATGTAGAGAGTGAAAGCAATAAAAAGTATCAAGTTGCTCCCTCTTTATATCCCAACTAATCTACTCCCTGGCAAGAAATATGAGGACTTGGGGTTCAGTCACTCAAGGATGGTTTAGTTGCCATGGCGACCGGACATTCCTGGGGAGCTGGGTCATGGGGAAATGACATCTGGATGCTATCCATGGAAGGCATCAGTCAAATGAGAATGGTCTACCACACTCAATTCTGATAGGGACTGTTGTTATACTACTTACCATTTACAAAGCATCAGAAAATCAGTTTCAAAATGTCAACTTTCACGAGCTGTGCGTTTTACAAATGAGATTCATTATCACTAGTCACATTTTAATTATAAACTGTGAGAACACAATTTTTAAAGACTTTGGCTTCAGCAGATCCTAAAATAATCTGACAATTTCTGACTGTGTCAAATAGGGAGTGATTTAAGTACAGTGCCTATTGTAGTCTTATTCTGCAGACACTGTTACGCACAACGCCTGTCAAATGCCTGTGCCTGCAAACTTGAATTTATTAGGCCTTTGTGTCCAGCTTGCATTTGTCTGTTGAGAGCCAGAATGTCATTGGCCTAATCAAAGCACAGGAAAGAACAGTGTAGGGATGTAAGCTACTATTGAGTAACCTTTTTTGAATGAAGGAGATTTCTTGATGATCCATAGTTATAGATATTATGATTTCAGAATACAAAAGGGGAAATATCTCACAGTAGAATTGTAGACAATTCATAATAACTTAAGTTGTGATTTTAATATAGACCCAATTTATGTAAAAATCTAGGTTTTGTGAAAACTTTCAATCACACAAATGTACAACTTGTTGAGAAAGGTTTGCAAAGAAAGTTCAATTTTAGCCAACTGTCAATTAGTAAATATTGCTATAGCTCTAGATAGTAACTTTCAGAGAAATGTAGAAATGTATATCATACTGCTTGAATATAAGTACCATTTATCCATTATTGAATGAATGATAATTAGGTTTGGTTCTGATTTGTCCCCCCCCAAAAAAAATTAAAAGGAACAATGATATCATAATTGTTCATATTAATTAAGCTTATACTAGTGCTTTTCGATGATAAGCCATTTAGATATTGGGAACTTGGGTGTTAGACTCATACAATTAAATCTCAGATTTGGTTTGGTGAAAATAAGAATTTATTGTCATCCTTTCTAGTTTCTAAAACTCTTGGGTAGGACATTCATTCATAGTCTAATTTATTGCAGGCCTGCACTTTTCACTATTTCCAAAAAAAAAATTGTTATTGGAAATAAATGTGTACATAAATAAAGAGTTGCCTTTCCCTGGTGTCTCAAATTTTGCATCATTTGAGCAATTTCATCAGTGCCACATCCGTGGAACCTCCCCATTTTGGGTTATAACGTCATGGAGTCCATGGACACAAATTGTGCAAGAGCCAGTAATCTTTTTCCCACCAAGAGGATGAAGTCCAATTTTATAACGAGATTCAGCACTTCTGAAAAAGGGGAAAACAATGGAGAAGAAAAGAGAGTGCTAAAGCATCTGTAAAGTATATGTTGTGTCTGCTGGTTCTTGCCAAACTCTCCACCAGTTGTTAAAGTTCATGTTTATAGGGATGTTCTCATTGCCAGGATTGTTTGTTTGTGAATGATAGAAGTATGGTTCTGTGGAGCTTAGCCCTATATGATAAATCTCTTACAGGCATTGGGCAGGTTAGAACTAATTTAAAGACAATTTCAAATAAAGCAATTATAGTTTGTCTTGTCACCCCTCCATATGTTTTTCAGTTGATGGATCAAAAAAGTTGTTTTTCACATTTTGGAAATAAATGTAATTTTCAAAATAAGCTTTTTTTTTCCAAATCATGATTGCATCTCATTCCATCTTTTCAAGCATAGTATTCATGAATGGAATCAAACATTTTATCATATATATATATATATATATATATATATATATATATATGCTAAATTCTGCAATATAGAAGTACCTATAAGTATAAGCTATGTCTTGTTGGGAATTGTCTTATTTTTATAGTCATTGGATCTCTTATTTTATTCCTTTGGACGAAATATAAGCGCAGGCATCTTTCTCTTATCAAATTTTTGAATGAATACCAAACATTATTTTAGCATGTATGTACAGTTATACTCTGTTTGATGGATGAAATGATACTGGTTGGGAAGAGAGAGCAAGATGTCTTGTGTCGTTGTAGGCTATGGGAACATTCCCTAACCCTGAACCCCTATTCTAGTGGTATATAGAAGCTCAGCAGTGCCAAGTACAGGCATATGGTTCTGCGATATACTTCATTTAACTTCATAGATTCGACAGAGAGTGGCGACTGACCATGCATAGCCTGTTTTGGAACTGCTGACGGAGTCAGATTTGCAGTTGCCTTCCATCGCCAGAATGGGAAAACCTTATGTCTATATTTTTTTCCTGGTTGGTCCTTTTTGTTTCTCCTATTTTCTCAGTCAAGTTATCCCAAGATATGTATCGGTATACTTGGTACACATCCAAATATAAGGCGTAATGGAGAGCAGGTTCTAGCATACTGCTATAACATACATGTAGCTTCAGTGTACTACCAGGCTTTCAAGCCGTGTCCGGTTGTAATGTAGGTCCTTTCAATTGATATCCAATGGGGTTGAACTTGAAACAGTTATTTGCAAACAACAATTACAGTCTTTTACACTCTGTAATTTGCATGTTTTTTAGATGCAAGAATGTGACTTGAAAAAGATACCATCTGTTTTCTCTCCCCATGAATCTAAGATGTGATTGAAGATAAGAATATATTCCAAATGGATAAAATGTAGGGGGACCTTTTACAAAAAATTTGGGGAGGGGCTGAAATTATTTTTCTCCAGTTTTGTACGGTTTGTACTGTAGATTCATTTTCTTGCCTTTAATTTTCTTTTTAGGCTTAGTGATGGTATAGAAAAATAATAAGAAGTCAATCTTAGCATAACATGAGCACTTTCTGTGTAATTCCTAAAACAGTAAAAAGCCATTGGCATATCAATAATGCACCCTTCTTCAATTCTGTAGTGTTTAATGAAGAAAAAATGACAACAATCACATTTAATAGTCTACCAAGTGTCAGAATGTATATTGAATAAGCAGAGCAAGTAAGCACTCTTAACATCAATGATTACTTGCTTGTTATCTTTTAGAAAATTGAGGAAAGAGTTGTTGTAATAAGATAATGTGTCTTGCTATTGAAGGAAATTGTTTTATTCATATTTATGAATATATATTTCATTCGTATTTTCATTCTGAAAAAAGGTAGTGGTAAATTTGGTTACAAACATATTTATACCACAGAACTCTCTCCGGGATGCTTGTTGTTATCTAGCTAGGGTTTATAAAGACCACATGAGCTTGTCTTTTTGAGATTACAATCTTTTATGTATTTCTCTGTTCGTTTTGCTGTTTGTACTACTACTTTTGTAACCAGGACTATTTTGTGTTTTCTGGAGTTTAATCGCCCTTGTAAAGCTTCTTTCACAGGCTCTCTCTACATTTATAGTGTAAGATAAACACTTCTGTTATCTGGCAAAAAAAAAACTTTTCTGTTCAGAGGAGAAATTGAAGAGAATTACAAAATAGGGTCCCCAGTAGCTAGTCCCCAGTTTGATAAGAAAAATGAAATCAGTTACATGTAACTACTTGCATTTGATAGGAAGAAATAATAATATATTAGAAGGGCTCTTCGTTCATAATCAGGCCTACGTGGACACTGCGGTAAGAAGCATTCATATACCATGCACCACCATGACAGTATGTCGGTCATTCCCTTTGCATCTATTTCTGTGTGTGTAGACAGACAGACTGTAAATGCTAAGGGCAGAGAAAGGTCAAAGGTCATGAAGATGTAGTCACCAAGAGAGGGGGTGCCTCAACATCTGGTATCCCTAGATGCTGAATGTGTACATGTGCTCTACGTATAACTCTCTAAATTAAAGGGATAGTTGAGTTCTGTTTTCAGACTGCAAATGCCTTCAAAGTGCATGGTTATTGCTCTTATTCTTATCTATGACATTTATAGTGCCCTTTTAGAACCTAAAATTGCTATGAAGGTAATTTTAGACCCCAAAATGTGTGAAATTTAGCCAAAATAATCATACCAATTCAGCTTCACTTTAAAAAAAACATGGTGACCATCAATTAATTATTTAAATAAAAATAACAATACATGAGCCGGCTAATTTTATTGTGGGAAAATTAAAAGCAACACGAAAATGCCATAAAAAAATCCAACATCGGCATTGGCTGAAATACGACGTAAAAGGCGTTATTTCTTTTTTTTCAACGTTTTTTTCAAATTTGTCAAAATATCTAATATTTGTGGTGTGTATACATTGTTATATTTCAGCCGTCTCTGAACTGATTTTGATCAAACAAAGATGATTTTGTCATTTAAATATTATGTTCTTTCAAATTTGACACTCACTTTTTCATTATCTCACAACAAAATTATTTTGTGTAGCGCCCTCTGCAACAGAACTCAACTATCCCTTTAAAGATATGTAACTAAATTTTAACTAATAAATAATATGTCTCTCTCTCTTTCACTCCCACCCTCTCTCTCTCTCTCTCTCCCTCTCTCTCTCTCTCTCCCTGTCTATCTTTATCTTTCTTTCTTCTTTCTGTCTTCTTTCTGTCTCTGCACTCTCCTGTTACTGTTGATTCGTTGTTAACATTTAGCTCTTGTTTTCCTTATGACAGGCGAGACCGAAGGGCGAAGGTTTAACCCCCTACCAAGGCAAGAAGAGATGTTTTGGCGAATACAAATGTCCCAAGTGTAAACGCAAGTGGATGAGTGGGAACAGTTGGGCTAACATGGGTCAGGAGTGCATCAAATGTCACATCAACGTTTATCCACACAAACAGGTATAACCCAGTATGAAGTAAAACGTTAATTGTTATCTTTTAAGTTAAAGCATTGTTTTGAAACTTTTTTTTGAAGCGATGTATAAGGGTTATTTCATAAAGCATAATGGTATACAACAACCAGTTTGTATATATTTCCATAGAGAGACAATCTAACCAATTCTTGTTAAGAAACAAAAAACATTTAAAATCAAACTAACAATGATTCAGAAACAAAATACTGCTACATGTAGGAGACTTAAAAGATTATTATTCTTTTAATACAAGAGGAAGTGTCTTCAAATGTACATATTCTAATTTGTTAGAAGTGTTTTATGATTTGAGCAAGTGATTCTATAGGAGCAGGCTGGGATATTTCAGTATTTTGAAAAGTATTTTGACGGCTCATAACAAGAAATACATGTAGGAATATTAGAGTTTGAAAATTACAGATCAATTTTCATTGATAAATTAAAAGTTTTATTTGGTCTTTCCCCACTCATTCTCCAAGCACCGATTCAATGGTTTAAGATTAAGCTTGAAATCCTAAAGACACTTCTACAGACAAAACAATAACCTGTTCTTAATATCATTGCAAACACACATGAGTCAGAACAGCCTTACAAAAAGCTAAAGGGATAACAGAGTTTCCTTCCCGAATCAAGAGTGTTTTTATTTCCTTTTATGAGTTACAGAAGAGTTATACTAAGCTCCAGATTCCTCCTTGTTGTGCACTGTTTATATGTTAACAAAGTATTTGATATTAATTGTGCACTCTTTGATATTTGTACGTGTTATCACTCATCACTTGTGCATGGTTGTTTGAAAGTTGTTTTGCATTTACTCCACTCGAAAATACACAAAGCCCACCTTAATTCAAAATGTATGTGCTATTCTTATTTTATATCATAACCAGTGCCACATTTGCATGGATGATTTTGCCACATGTATCCATCATTTTGGTGATTTGGATTCCAAGATTTGAAACATTCGATAGTCTTTCCATTTCTTATTTTTTGTTTTGATTCAATTTTCTAGGGATATCTGCCAAGTTGGACTTGTGACAAAATATCTTGTTTATGTCTATTTTCTATTTGGAGGAAGGCATTTTAGTCATAAACAACCTGACTTTGTTTACAAAGGAAAAGGAAACACATTCCTTATTCCCCCAATGCTTTGCATTGATATCAGTTCAGCTATCATTGCATTTGCAAAATACTTAAAATGGAACATAATCCTAAATGATGGAAATAATTCTTTTTCTGTCAACATTGTTAGGTGTTGCCTCAAAATCATAGCAAAATTGAAAAGCAGGAACATGAAATTGAAATGTACTATTTGCCCTAGAAAATTATGCTATTTCGCATAGTGACTAAAAACAACCTGAGAAAATGGTCTACGCATTTTGATGTTTCCATATATTTCATCTTGCATGTGTTTTGTGTGTAGCTTATAGAGCTCCTTGTTGCCTATTATATTCTCCCTGTTTTCTGCTTTCCCCCTTCTTTGTTTTCTTAAACCATTGCAGCGACCCCTAGAGAAACTAGACGGATTGGACGTGTCCGCGTACGACCACCTGAAGACCAAGGTATAGAGGTTATGCACAGTTCTTCTTATTTGTTTACTTTTTTTCTTATAAATTGTTATGGTTATGGGTCCGCATACCATTCCTGAGTGGCAATACATATGGGAAGTTCATGCTTTCGTCAAAAGATGGAGATGAAAATAATAGGGCATAAATAGGGTTTGCATTTATAAACAAAAACAAGACCCCAGTATGAGATGTAAAAACAAAAATTCTCAAGTAAGTTTCTATTCCTGTAAATAATTCTCTCGCACTTTTGATGGCATTGGCTGTCCGTAGCACACAACGTACTCCTAGTCATGAAAGAGAGTTACCGTATTTAGTTTCTACTTTCATTGAAAGAAGTTTCATTTTTGTCTCAAAGTTTCATTTAGGTGGAGAGAGAATTTGAAGGGTTGTGATTATGAACCAAAGTGCCAAGAAGAAATGGACATGTAAGTAATACCAAACTTGATCACGACATAAGTTTCATGTCGTGTTTTCTACATCTATTCGGCAAATGCACATTGAAGTTTTGAAATAAAACGAGAACTCCTCCTATAACAGTCTAATACTAAGTCCTTTTCAATTAGTTTTTTCTGACAGAAATTGAAGTAAAAGTATTAACAACAATATTGCAGACTATTTTACACAACATTAAAATACCTACTTTCGTAGTATATCAAGGAATAACAATGTGGGACTCAGTTTTATGAAATAGAAAGCTGTGTAAGTATTCTGAAATAAAAAAAAAAGTGACAAGTTTCTACGTGGGTGCGTACTTGTCCAACTTGTAGCCTAATATACTTGAATAAAATCGAAGTTCAAAATGTTCTTTCACCATTGTTCCTGATAATACAGTCTGAGACTAACCTTTAAATCAGATGAAATGTTTGAAGTCTAATTGACTTATAAAACAGAAAACATTGTGATTTTATAACAATATGAATACTTGCATTATTAGGTTACTGACAATTACATAGTCGTTGTTGTAGATCTTCACATTATGGAAGAAAAAAATGTGTGTTAAATATCTTATTTGTCCAAATGTCACTCAGGAATGGTGTTGAAACTGTTATTTTCATCATGTTGCTGGTAGAAAAATAAAGATGATTTCATTATATAAGATTAATGAATATATACCCTCCATATATATATATATCTCCATTTTACACCATAGTGGGTTAATTTTAGCTCTTAAATTTGTTAGAACTCTGAAGCTAGAGATAACATTTTGCTGCCTTGCAAACTGTTTTTGCAAAACAACCGAAGCAAGATTTGCTGTATATTTTTAATTAAATTCTAAAAAATTCAAGTTTAATGCATTTCAAAAATCATTTCAGATTTTTTCCAGTTGTAAAAGGAATGTCACGCATCACTGATCTTTTGTGTGAAGGCGTCATCATTCAAACTTACAACAGTGCATAACCTCTATGTGGAATAAAATTGTTGTTGTAGTTGAAAGAAGTCATGAATATATATCTATGTTTTATATATCAATTAGTGAAAAAGTGCTTTAATTCATGTGCTGTCATTACTATTATTTATTGTGACCCACGTTTGGATAATACTTTTTTTGTTTATCGTTCATTGGCTTGTAAAATATTAATATCTTGCCCATAGCACGTTTGGCTGAGCATTTTTGGAAGCCTGCCTTGTTTAACTCTTTCATTTTAATTTGAACTGCCAAAATGTTGTTGTTGGATATGATATTTTTTTGAGTGGACAACAAAAAGTTTCTTTTTATCTTGAAATTCAACCCAGATTCATAACTTTTGACGTTCAGTATCATGATTCATAACTTTTGACGTTCAGTATCATGATTCATGAGATGGTTTCTCTTTCAAGGTCACCAATAAAACTGCACCGGGATTGAGAACTTGTCTTTTTTAATATAATTTTTGATGTTTGTAAATTTGATTGATTTCTGAGGATAAATCAGAGTGGGTGCCTTCCAATGCACCTAACATCTGCAGATTATCACAATACACATCAGATATACAGTCAAGGATTGCTTTGGCACATTTGAGTATTGTATCTTTTTTGTATCTTTTTCAAAGTGAATTGATTTGTGTGTGGCTCACACCCCTTTCTAATGCCTGAACATTTCAGTTTTAGATGTAAATTCAATTTTTGATCAATCATCATCTATGATTAGTATATTTCTCTTCTAAGATATTTTCTGATTGTCATGATATTATCAATTTGTGACCTTTCAGGTGGGGCTGCCAAGTGATATGTTTCTACTAAGCTGTCATTCAAAACATGCTCTCTGATCATGCATCAAAGCACATTTGTGTATCAAACAGAATGAAATATTAAACTTCAAAGTAAAAATGGAGGAAAATTTTCAAGCTCTTATTTTTTCAGGGTGCTTTATATTTACTCTGGTAATGGAGATACACAACATTTCTTAATGAGAATTTTCGATCAGTTGTCCTCAAGTGGCAAAGCTCAGTTATAGAATATGCTCTTTCACCAGATTTTTCATTCTGTTTTTTTTTCTTCTTTTTTTCTTTTTGCAATTTCTAATTAATTATAGCGCCCTCTTGAGAAACCTGATGGATTAGATGTTTCGGACCAGAGCAAGGAGCACCCCCAGCACCTGTGTGAGAAGTGTAAGGCGCTGGGTTACTACTGTCGGCGGGTACAGTGAGGGGGGCGTGACCAAAGGACTGACCGTTACGCTGAACTCTCCGTCTTGTCCAAACTGGTCGCATCAAGAAGGGAATTCATCATACTTCAAGAGAAAGATTCAATCCCGAGTAGAATCATTCTATTATCAAGAGAGTCTAAACGATACTGTCCCCTTTTCTTCTGTGTAATTCTTTTGATCTATAAGTTTAAAATGGACCTAGTTCTACATGCTAGGTTTTTTTCATTCCCTTCTTTTCTGTTTTGCTTTCCATACGTAAGATCTTATGATTTGAAATGATTTTATGTAATACAGTCATATTATGCATACCAGCTTAAATGTAATAAGTCCTTTTTTGTTGTTGATGTTAAGATATTTGTTTATTTTGATGTTAGAGAACTTTGTCCAATTTTAAGTGCTATATAAATGCAGAATGTAGGTTTTTAGTAGTCTTTAACTATGCACAAATAAATGACGCAAAGAAATTCTGCAGGTACCTAGTTGAAGGGGAGGGATCATTGAAAGATACACGTAATACTGGTACTGATATATTTTACTCAAGATATCAGAGGGATTGTCTTGAAACTATTCAGATAAGTGTATAGCATTTACAAAATGGGTGCTGAAGTTGTGGGCTTCCCTTTAAAAGTAATATGATATTTAGAAGAGATGATGTAAAGCTCCTTTCTGTACATTATGTCCCATAATTCTCATGCTTATTTTCATGCATTTATTTCTTTTCCCGATGCACAAAACAGGTTGTTTGCATTTTGTGTTAACAAAACAACAAATCATCAAATTTTTAAAGACACTTATAAAAGAATCAAATTTAAACTAAAGATAAGATAGTCTTAGCCTTTCTGTGTATGTGGCTGACTGTTGTGACTTGTCATAGAATTAGATAATTTGTTTGTCACTTTCTATAGATAGCATCAACATCTATGATTTTTATCAGAGTATGCAGTTAGTAGTTGTGGTATTACCTACAAAATGTTTAACATCTAATTTCAAACAACATATTTTGAATACCGGTACACTTCCAAAATTGTAGCATTTTCTGATGATTAAGTGATCAATTTTTGTTTCTCTCTAAAAAGAAGTTATCTTCAGTACTTTTGCAATGGCGTGTATTCTGCCCCTGTTATTTTTGCTTTGTGCCAGTACTTAATTGTTGAGTTACTACAGGAATCTTAAAGAAGCTCTACTCTCTTTTTGGTTCAAAGGATTACATTTATCAGTGATGTTCAAACAAATTACTTGTGTTCACATCATATATGTGGTATTATCTCCCACCTTTATGGGGGCTGCAGCTTCTATAGTTTTCACTTACTTGATTTAAGTGCTGTGAAATTTATTCATTTGATTGCAACTTTAAAATAACAAACAGCAGTGATGAATTCTTCTTTGAAAAAAGATATATGGAACAGACACTTATATCATGTGAGATTTATAGAATTGAGATATCTGTTTCATTATGTTAAACATAATGTTTGATTTCAAGAAGATTTGACCCACTTTTATTTTGAGTCTCAGAAGTATCAACCCTTAAGGATTTTTCATTAACAGACAAATCAAAGACATGAAAATTAAATTCTTTGAAATGGAATGTATTTTATGAGGTTACAATTGTAAAATATGATTCTTTTGCTGTATTCTTTAAAAGTATTATTATCCTTGCAATAGTGCTAAATACTGCTTCCAAACTAATATGTATCACTGATGAAACCAACACTTATTTAATGAACATTTGTCCATTCCCCTTTTTTTGGAAGTGGAGCCGTGCTACATTGTATGTAGAAATACACTTATGTTGAAATGCATCAAAGATTACTATAACAAAGTAACCATTACAAACGTTACAAAGATGAGTGTAACAACTGCCAAAGAGGATGAAATATGCCTCCTTTCTTTTTTTCTATTCAAACATTTAAAAAAAAACCTGGCTGAAAAATAAAGGATCTTATGTATATTTAGATTAAAAAGATTGTACATGTTGGGTGTTCACTTTTATGCAAATTTTATCGACGAGTTATGGATTTATATATTTGTCATACCTTAAATGGGTTTTTATTGTTCATGTTTAAAGCTATGAAAGTCAAGTATGTAACCCACAAGTTGTAAATATATATAGTTTCTGATAAAGATGTGTACTACTTTCTTTGTTTAGTGTTGTATATTTGCTGGACAGGACTGAAGCTGTAACTATATAAGAGACAGAGCACAAAATAAGTAATGTATATAAATGGGGAGCCCTTATGTATCAACAGATTTAAAGTCACTGAAGCCATAATGTTGAGGTATATAAGAAAATCAAGCATTGCGTGAATAGAGGAGGGTGGAATCTCTCAAGTTTGAATAGCTGTACAGATTTTAAATGAAATCATGCTTTTAGTTTTGGAGGAAAGTTATTATAATTCAAGATTTTCATGAAGTTTTTAAATCAGTGTAAGCAAGGTAACTGAGTCATAAAGAGAAACCTGTTGTGATTCTACTCCCACTTCATGTAATAATCATGTTAAAGGAAGTAACGTTCCATTCGGATGATTTTAAATTGATACAGATATCATGGCAAGAAATTTATTGCATTATTTCTTATTTCAATTATTTCATATTTATTAACAATATCTATGAGACTTTGCAATGTGTGCTAAATTGACAAGTGCAAGAGACGGTTTATTGTATATGCATTTCTAAGGGATGGCTATATATTTATCATGATAAGATTCATTTGAGTGTGCTAAAGATTGGTTCTATGCAGTTTTAAGAAGAACATTACACAAGCTAAATGGGATCTCTGGAAGTATTACCTATAACTTGTTTCTATAATCAACTCATTTCTCCTGTAGGTCTAATCATAGAGCCATTTTACTCACGCTTTTAATCTAAGGCAATCATTCAAATTATGAAATTTTTTGAGCCACAAGCAATCGGTGCAAAAGTTAATGAATATGGCTATCCCTACTGAGTAATGCTATGGGGGGGGGGGGGGTTGCTGCAGAGATCATGAAAAGGCTTAGAAAGTGCTATAAATCAAGAGTGTATATATTTACCGGTAATGCAATTTAACATGTCTGGTGCTGTACCCTCTTTAACACTTCTTTGTTTTTGTTTTTGATCAGAACAGTGTAAATATCTTGTTTCGGTACTGCAAGTCATTTTTTATCTTGCCATAGATCTTAAGCTGTACAGATTTGGTGATAACACACAGTGGCAGATAAAGCATCATCATCTTTGGTTTGGCAGAGTTGTATATTAGTGAAGAAAAAACAGAAGGGCTAATGTATTTCAATCCACAGGAGATATTGAATTTTATCTTACAGAACTATATTTGCACATATTGCTCAAAGAGGAAATAAGCAGCATTGCTTGCTCAAAAGGATTCAGAATGTGCTTGTGTCTGTAAAATTTGTTGTCTGTCATATTTGTCTTTTTGCTGCCTTTTTATTATTACTTTCCAAGATGTGTAAATAATGTTGCCTTTGATATCTGAAGGGAAGGATGAAGTGAAGGTGGAAAGGATGGTTATATCAGATTTGTGTCCATCGGCCAGAGTTTCTCTGCACAATAATACATCATACAAAAAGAATCGACAGGAGTTGGCTTTTGAAAACTGAATGATTATAAAGGGTTGATTAGTGATATATAGTATGATATGGGCCTAGGTGGTTTTTCATTTTTCTTCATAATGGGCTATGTACTTATGCAGCCAAGATAATGATAAGATTATGCTAAAATCTTGAACAAGAACATTTCGTTACATGACTCTCCATAGACAAAAGGATACTGAAGTACTCTTATACAGACAGCACTCCATGATGACCCATCTTTAAAGAAACTATCGGTCCATTTATAAGCACAGACCTACAAATCTTAGATAAAATTCAACATTGCCTGTCAATGTTGTTCAGCTATATCTTTTTATGTATTTATTTCAAGCAGGGGCTTTAAAATGGAAAAGAAAAAACCCTTCTAAATATTGAGTTATCATATAGAAAGTCAGTTGTGGTATTGGGAGGGGTAATTAATGCCACGGTAACCCATTTCTTCCAAGTATTCAAACATATGCTGAGTGCTGTAAACCGTCTTGTGCCAAATTTGGTGCCAATTGAACCCCGTGAGAATTCTTGATACAGTTCTCTATATTTTTAATTGCCTGATTCCAATTCAATCTGACTTTGATTTCCTCTTAAGGGAGTAGTTACTTTTGGTTCACAGTGCCACTTGCCTTTTGATCTACACATTCTGTTTCTTGAAATACCACCTAAGAGTCAATGACAGTTCGAGTTTCGTGGCAGAAAAGGGGTCAGAAATCTTAAAATGTCAGGTTCGTGTCTTTCCCAGACCTGCCAACCAGTATGATTTAGTCGTATTTAGTACGATTTTTAGAAGCAAATACGACAGTACGATTTTCCTCAATAAAATATGATTTTCAAAAAAAAAAAAAATTTGGTATTTTGTGTGTGTGTGTGCCATTTTCAATGGCAAAATGCCCATTCTGTCCTATAAAGCATCTCACATCGGCAATTTTTGGTTCATCATTGGTTCATCTAACACACCAGTCGTGACGAAATCATGCATATTCAACCAATGATCCATAAAAAAAATTCTTCCTTTATGTAGGAACTGTAAGAGGCATTGATCCGCGTAACAGTCCGTGTTTATTTTTAAGAATACAACTTTTGTCAGCAAAATACAACTTTTGGGATTAAAGAATACAGTTTTTTGAACTCCAGAGGTTGGCAGGTCTGATTTCCTTTCTTCAATCATGATTCATATTTGAAGGTGTAAAAAAGCCAACTTCTGTCTATGTTTGTTGTTGTTGCATTTTTGTGAATCCAGAAACTCCATCCCTATCTCACCACCTAGATGTATATCTTCTTTTCATAAACTGAAAAAAATCACTGCTTTTTAGGAAGCGATCTATTCTTTTTGTTTCTACTTGCCTTCCCTCCATACAAGATCGGTGTGCTATTTATCGGATGTGTATAATCTTCAGTATTTTAAGAGCCGAGAAGAGGGGATAATATTTTGTCATATTTTCTATCATAGACGTGATATGTGTATTTAGGTCAGTAACTTCATATGGATTTTTTTTCTTATCTTATTCTTACGGCAAAGAAGAGATTGTCATTTTAAGTTTGATATATGTGTATAAATGGGTAGTTTTAGACAAATCAGATGTTACAGTTTATGGTTTAAATATTTAGAGATAGTGGATGTACATTATTGTTCTTATTTTCATGATTTCAAATATATCTTTGTTTATGGTACTAACTGTCTTCTGAGTTCATTATAAAGAACAATTGTCAATATTTTTCAATAGATATATCTAAATGCTCTTTCTTATGGACTTTATATTCAAATGTGTATGGTTGGTTTGAATTTACAGCTTATATTTCTTTGGAATAGTCGACGTCAGAGCTGTTTCTTCATTTTAACGATTGATATTTGTTGATTCTTTCATTTTCTTGTTGATTGTATTCAAAATGGTGTATTTCTTTTGATCCCTTTTGATAAATATGCATATTTGTACAAACATATTTATGTACATAAAATTGCATTTACAATTGTACACATGTTCAACAGTAATTTCAGTGTTCATACTGGCATTTTAGACTTTGCCTTTTCATCCTTTTACCATTACATTTTTTTCATTAGAGTAGAAAGTTGTTCATTTCATCATAATTATTAAGGTCCTAATATATAAGTGTTTTTTTTTCATTGTCATTTTATGAACTATGACATCCTAACAAGGTTTCAGTATTAACTGGAAAAATACATCAAATATGATGCAGAATTAGGTAATAAGTTTGTTAACATGTCAATTCTGAAAAGAAATAGAAAACACATGGAAAAGGGGAGAGAAAATCTTAAATAGTTGAAAATATTATGTTTGTTTCATGGGTGAAATCTTTAAGTTGCAATTCATAATTTAATATATTAGTGTAAAAAAATTGTTTTCACAGTATGTTGTAGTTCCAGACTCTTTCGTTCTACAGTAATTTATCGCTCCGAGATAACAGTAGATATTACTTTGTTATTTTGAACTGATTGGAAATCTGAGTGCAGAATACAATCATTGATCTTGCCAAATTGTAAGCTATACTTATCTTGCCTATACATTAAGCAACTCAAAGATTAGTAGGTTTAGAAACATTAGACTTTTACAGTAATATTCAAGCGAAGAAATTGCTTTTTGCTACACTCATTTAAAGCAATTACACTGCCTAGGAGGTGAGACATTTTGAAGATGACAAAATAACTCACTTGGAAAAATTCCAGATTATTATATCTGGTTGATAAAGAGGGGTTATCCACCAAAGGAAAGTAATTTCACTCAATATTAAGAAGTAAAATGATCACTCCACTGTTGAGGTAGCTTTAAAATCAAATGGATCAGTTCTGATAATCCCAAGGTAATAATGATCTAAAAAGGGATTTTACTCAAGGATGTGGCATAGTGGGAAAATACAGTGTATATTCTTTGGAATAATTAAAATTGAGATTGGACCTTGAGGTCGATAGGTCAAATGACACATCTCAGATCACGACACTTACATCCTCCAGTGAAACATCAGTACAGTTGCCATCCTATTTTCATGGGCTATTGTTACAGTATAGGTTCCAATTTGTTTAGGGTTATTCCATGCAGTAGTATTCAGTACATCATTTAGAATAGGACCAGTTAAAATAGTTTAAAATTAGCTATAATTAGGTTTTCAATCTGCTTTCAATCTCGGGCATGCAGTCTTTCACATTGAATACATAGGAAATGAATCAGTTCATCTCTTGGGATATTTGGATGTCGGTTATGTTTAGGGCAAAGCTCTTATTTCTCCCTCTGTAATATCTGTAGAAACCCACATTATGTTCATCTCCGTAATAGATTTATGATTAGATAATGTTAATATTAAAGTCTTCTCTATTGGTACATACTGCATTAGGTAATAGTCATGAAAAAAGTTTTAAAATTTGCTATATAAATAGGCCAAATATGCATACTTGCCAAGTCACATCTCTTATTATCAACATTTGCACTTTTTTTCGTTGCAAGCACGAGGTAAACGGGGAGGGTAGTAGTTCTCTGTTTTTAAGCAGGGTTTTGCCATTGGGAGAATGGGCATTAACCAACCAAACTGATCAGGTAGAAATTAGATTTACAACTCACAAGGTATCTTGCCTTCAGTTTCCATTAAATCCTTTCTCAAATTAAAAATGGAGTAAGAAAAAGCTTCCAAGAATCAAATGATTAATGCTCGTATGCAAACACTGCTTGTTCTAGATAGTCTTGAGCATTTGCAAATGTAGTTTTCACCTCGGAATCCAACAAAACTGTGATCAAAAGTTATGACTAGGCACCTAAAATAGGTCAAATAGCCATTATTTCTTTTACCGGTAGATAATGGAACCATTTATCCCAACTCGGTTATTTATGTCTTTGGTGTGAAATGGATCATGTGGTTTATGTAAAAATTGAAACCTTAAACTCATCAAGTTATGTTCTTCCTTGTGGCTTTGTGCTTCCACGTACACAAGATGTTCCAAAACGAATTACTGGTAATTGTTCATAGATATGATGGATATATCATAATTTATAAAAAAAATCAAGGTGTTCAAAGTCGTTTGTTGAAAAGAAGGTATAATATAGATTTGTTTAAAATTGTTCTTTTTTTACAAGAAGTATGATGCATATATTTACAACATTCATTTGCAGTGTTGTGGTACTTAACAAGGCTTGAGGTGTTTTATATATATTTGGGTTTTTACAATACCATAGTTTTATTGGATGTTTCATATAAATAGTATTATTTTATTGAGAGTTGGATTAACATCAATACACTAGTAAAGAAATCATGTGTCATTACTAGTTTGAGTTCTTGTTCAGACTTTACAAGGGTTGGACTTTCCTATTAAATGCATTTATACAAACCTAGCCATACTAGAAATCCAGTAGAATTCCATAATATGATTTTTCACTGTAACAATTTCTTGTAGAAATGTCATTCTTCAATATCATGAAATGAATTTTTCAGCTATTTGTAAGCCTTCCAATAACATGATATGATTTGAACGCACAGATCCAAAGGCTATATGGTAAATGAGGAAATAGATCAAAGAAATCGGGGCAAAAAATTGTCTTATAAATTTTTGAAGTGGAAAATATGGTAGATGATTTTATTGCAGTCTCTGTTACAAAATATCCTTTGTTTATCTAGAGTGGATTTTATTCGAAGAATATTTTAATTAGATTGTATTCTTTTTCCTTTATAATTTGTTCTCTTTGACATGAAAAATATGAAATTATAAAATGGTTAACTGTTACAGTAGTAATATAGTTGAAAATGTTCTGTCTTCTAAACAAAATTTATTTAAGGCTACCTCTTTTTGCAGAAGGAGATGAAACAACTTAAACAAAGCAGGGCTTGTAGCATTTTTTCTTCTTCTTCAGATTATTTTTTTCCATTTCTTCATTTGAAAATTTATCAGTACATCAGTGGCTTCCAAATTTTAATATGTGTATTTGCAGAAAAAAAAGGAAATATATGTCTGTACCTTGATTTACAACAAAAATATAATTGTAAATATTGTGGAAAAGTATGTACATCAGCGTTCTCAGTTGTATTTTATCCTGCCTTTTATTGTGAAACAGAAATTAACAACGGAAGTTGAGCTTGGAATATGAACTTCATTTATATTGTCATATACCCTGCCTGTAGTTAGAGAAAGATGTACAAAGTAGTTATCTGGATGTGGTGTTAAATTGTAGAAACCCTACAAACATGTAATGATTGGTATTACAGTCATCAGAAAAGCAGTAAACATACGGTATCCTTGCAATTGGATCAAATCCATTATATATAAAAACTATCAAATCTTGTGGAAGAGATTTCTCAACTTTGGTAGAACATGTATATTATGATGAATAACAGTGGATAGATTGGACAGCTTATATCAACAACCGCTCCGTACTTCCTGTATAAGAATTATGCCATCATTGTATTGAAAACATAACCTGTTTTATACCATGTAACAATCAATAATTCTCTTATTGCCTGTACATGCTAGTTGATTATTTTGAATTCACCTTTTCTTGCAAAAAGATATATATATATATATATATATATATATATATGAACTTCATTAATAAACTAACTTTCCTTTTTAATGAAAAAGCCCAGTTCACCAATTGGGATACAGGTGAAGATTTTTGGTAAAAATGTAATTGGTTCTACGATAGGGCCTAATGTATATCTAACAGTTTTCAATCTCAATTCGTCTAAATGTATACATCCACAGTATCTATTCACAATGTGGAAGTACAATATACTGCACTTCCAGATACATAATATTTCAAAATCGAAAAACATTGGTCAATTTCCCCTGAGAATTGTGTTTCACTCATAAAAGTTGTAAATATATTAATGCTGCTCCATACGTTTCAGAATCAGTTTTTGTTAATTTCTGCTATTATCATTCTTATGCCATTTTGATCCAAATAGTGTGTATTTTCCACACTATTGTTTCATGTTATAGGTTAACCATTGTAATTATGCCATTCTTCTATTTTGTTTGCATGCTTTGAAAACCATTAAAATGCTATTTACTCTGAAAAGTAGACATTGATCTGTTTTTTTTATTATAATAAAGATGTTATGTGTTTGATAGTAATGGAGGAGGAAGAAGGAAGTGGATCATCTAGCTAGCAGTGGGTTGATAAACATCTTCATGTTTGCACGAAGAAATCAGAAATGATTAATTTTCTGGCTCTGAGTAGATGAAATCTGAAGATATTAGAGATGGAAAGGAAGAGAGAGAGAGAGTGTGTGAGAGAGAGAGAGAGAGAGAGAGAGAGAGAGAGAGAGAGAGAGAGAGAGTGTGTGTGAGAGAGAGAGAGAGAGAGAGAGAGAGAGAGTGTGTGTGTGAGAGAGAGGGAGAGAGAGAGAGAGTGTGTGAGAGAGAGAGAGAGAGAGAGAGTGTGTGAGAGAGAGAGAGAGAGAGAGTGTGTGAGAGAGAGAGAGAGAGAGAGAGTGTGTGTGAGAGAGAGAGAGAGAGAGAGAGAGAGAGAGAGAGAGAGTGAGAGAGAGGGAGATAGAGAGAGAGAGAGCTTAAAGATGAAGTTGAGTTCTGGTCATGCGATTGCATTGTAAAGAAACGTGGAATCGATCAGAAAAGGTTGATCATCTAGCATTGTGTGTACTGCAAGGTTCTGGAATCATCAAAATGATAAGAAATTTGGCCCAGTCTTTGTAAAGTTACAAGCACTGTACACAGAAAGATGTGTATGGGACTACGCACACGTGCGCGACACATGCGTTTATCTCTCACACATCAATAGATAAACTAATTTACCAAATATATCAATTAGTACTTAGGCGGTTTCCCGGCAAATTTTGTATCATCATGTATTAGTCAAAACATACTCTTTCACATGATTGGTAATAAGAGCTTCCATTTCATTTTTTGAAATTGGGGCGTTTTCAATACTGGTCTTTACCTTTAAGGGAAAATAAAAATTAAGACAAGGGTATACATGTAGGTACAGATAAGGGAAGATGAGGTAAACCAGAAATGTGACAGTCGATGGGACAAGAAGAACATAAAAAATAGATATTGATGAGGACAATGGAGTTTGCCATTTGAAGACAAGAGAGGGAGGCATACATATACCTGAATAACTTCCATTTGTATATATAAATTGTTTGTGTCAACACATCACAATAAATCTCAAAACTAGCTTTCTTAATTTCTTTCTACTTTTTATTTAGATACTTTCTGAACAGAATCTTTATATGTGACATTCTATTCCCCTACATACTCCTATAACCAGCAACATGTACCCCCTCCCCTTCCCAGCTGCTATCAACTCAAGCACTCATGCTTATCATAGTTGGCTTCTGCATTTATCTTGATTATTTCACTTACCTCCGTACTTTCAAGTTTTCAATTACATATATATATATGCATTTTTTGGGGTTTGAATTTAAGTTGTCACTCTTTGTGTAATCAATTACCGGTATATTATATTATTATTTTATATTTGATTTATCAATAAATGCAAAAACATCTGCTTAAAAAAAAAATTCTTGAGGGAGACAACTTTTCTTTTCTTTTTAATTCATTCATATTGTATCGATTCATTTGATGAAGCTGCTTCCCATTTATAAAAATTAGCAAGGAAAAATAATTCAATCTATATTTGAAACTGATAGTTTTCTGCCTTCCTCTGGTTATGGGTTTTTGTACTTTGTATTAAAGCCTGTATGCACTACTCGTATCTACTTGCGCCCTCTATATAGCAAACATTGCCTAAACAGTATCTGTTGGTCCCCCACGCCCCCTTTTTCTAGTTAATTGAGTGCAGTTTGATGAGATAAACTCCCGTCAGGTAGGTCTATTCCCTTCTGGTCAAACTATTGCAGACAGGCCTTAAAAGAAGTCAAACTTTGGAGGGTAAAATTTTTATTCCGAGGGGGAGGAGTTGTGTACTATAATACTAATCTATGATAATAGCTGTTAAATGTACACCATTGAGATTTAAATATTAATCCTTTTAGGCAATGTTTACTTAAATTGCATCACAGCTTGAGATGGCAGGAGTATATCTCATCAAAGGCTTGTCAATCACTCCTTTCCAGAATGCTTCCATTTCCACACAATCCTACACTATCACAACCTCACTGCACCATCACCCACAAATGTTCAACATCTTTATCACCCATTACAACCTCATTGATATAATGAACATTATTTATATTATCACTACGATTGGCAACCACAAACAAATCTTGCAAAGAGGGTTACGAATATAAATTACTCCCTATTAACCACAACCGAAACGTATTCGTGGTGAATACAATTTGCAATCCCTTTATTCTACTGCAAAATATGATTATGTGTTGTCCCTTTGGTCATGAATTACAGGTAAGTACTACTATGCATACCTGCCAACCTTTCAAAGCAAAAATTGGGAATACAGTCATTATCTATACTTTTATACACAGAAGTTTTCAAAAAATGAACTGAATCGAAACAGAGTTTTGAGAAAAAGAGGAATGTAAGATTCAGAACATTAGTGCAAGGGCCAAAAAGTAAGAATTATTCTCTAAATTAGGAATGGTTGTCAGCTAAGCAATGTCATGTACACATACAGGCAAACCTGTCTTAGTGGCCACCTCTCTCTTCCGAGTGTGGCCACATCTTTTGCCTCCCTCGAGTAAGAAATGTGTGTTGCAGACCCTGTATAGAAAGGCCACATGTCTACATGTACACTGGCCAGTTTTTTTTATTTCCCTTGGGTGGCCTCAATAGACAGGTTTGACTGTATAATTAATTGTTTGAAAGTTCACAGCCAAGGAAGAACACATTACACTCAAATGCATAGCTTCTGCCGTTGCGCATGATGGGACTAAAAAAAATAGAGTTTTGCTTTCAAAAGGTTGTGGCCCTCACTTCGGAATCGACATACGCGACAAGGGATTCAACATCCCTCTGCAAAATATTTGATATATGAACAACAAAATTCGAAAGAGAAACATAGTTGGTTGAATTATTCAGAGACTTTATTCCCACGAACAGTCGGTAAGTCAAGTCGGTCATCTCACTAACATCACTTGTACCAGTTTTTCCTGTAAATAAAGCGTTGCATACACACATCACGTTCCAGGGTTAAATGTCGCACATCTCCCACTTTTCTTTAAAGACCTCTAACAGAAGAGGCTGCTTGTTAGAGATACAACCACCATAGCAGCGAGTTCAGCTAGAGCTCTCGTTATGGAAAAAATACATATAGATATGGAGCAGTGCATGGTAACACGTACATATTCCAAGTTTAATTGGTTACTCTTCCTCTTCAAATCCTTCCTGAAATTTGCAATACCCCACTGCCAAGTATGGAGGGATTTTTGAAATGGTGTATGACAAACACAGACCAATCTGAATTCCACAAAATATCACTATATAATACACAAGGAAATTTAGAAAGCTTCAAACTACAAAAGAAAGCCTTTACCAATACTACATACAAATAGATGTCAACACTCACATGTTAACAATAGATATATTTTCTTTTTATCAATTTCTAGAACAGGATTATACCACATAGAGGGGTTAGATCATATAAGATAGAGATTATCATTTATCAATTAGAAAGAGGTTCAGAGTTAGGTTCTTTATTTTTATGGTGGTTTAAAATTCTAATGAAATGACTTGCACCACAGTGCAAATTCATCAAACATTAGAAGTTAAAACATTTTCATTAAGGTATCAAATTACTAGGTATAAACAAATCTTCAGTGCATATAAGCATAATATATATATAGATTTTACTCTATGTTATTCCAATCACACATTTACAATCTCCACGGAGTGTAAGTAAATACACACATCAAGAATGTGGTCATTTTTAGCACATAATTTAGCGTGACCCTTATCACCTTTGAATTCCATGTAAAGAAGTATGTGCGAAAGCCCCGCAGGAGAGTTGGTGAGGAAGTTAGGTTTGAGATATTTCCACTTGGCATTTCAAAGTGGGGGGTTGCCATTTAGGAGAGGGCAAACAATGTTTTTCTCCTTCTTTCTTGTATTGCAAACATACCATTCCCTTCCTTGCCTTTTTGTTACTATATTCATTGCATTGGTGACCTTGCTACTCCCTGCCCATGCAAAGGGGTACCATAGATCATTCTTTTCTTACACTCTTTAGATACAACAATCTGTCTTGTTAAATATTCAACGAAAGTGACGAGGTAGGCCCGACATTACGCCTCAAGGTCCAGTCCCAAGCCTAGTTTGTGTCCGCCTTGGTTCAAGCTCTTTCCATCGATGAGGGTTGAAAGAGTGATCTTCATACCTGTCATCAAGAAAACAGATGAAATAGAGTTAACAAAAGAAGTGTCCTCTACTAGTATTACATCACAATGGCATGCCTTATTTGCCAATTCCGAAATTTAGTATATTCAAGGATCTTGCCTTGAGTATCCATAATTCCAAGTTTCTTTTCAATATTTTGTCACCATTCATCTTCTTATTTTGAGCTGATTTTTTCTGATTTCACTGAAAGGGAGGTTGGATTGCCCTCCAAGTTTTAAGCCCCTCTTAACCCTTTTTCCTGGGACCGGGTGGCTCCTGTATTAAGCCTATAAGAATTCAACAATTCAGTAGTCAACAGGTTAATTGTTTGGAGCCCCCAAAATTTGATGGCAAAATCTGACTTAAATTAACATAATGTGAAAGAGGATGTCATTTATATTTCTGAAAGGATTTTCAAAACAAATATGATTGAAGTTGAATATTGATGAAAGAATACAAAATTTAGGTTTTCGACATACAACAGATAACCCAGGTTATATATATTCTTTCATCAATATTTGTCTTCAAACATTTTTTTTTTTTGCGGGGGGGGGGGGGGGGATCTTTGCTTCTAGAAGTGTGTCTTAAATAACAACCTCTTTCACATTATGATACAATTTAAGTGAAATTTTGCCACCAAATTTTTGGCAAACTTGGGGCTCCCAACACTTTCGAGGGGCTTTAACAATCTTGTAACATTATTTTTTTTAGAACTGTACTTTTACTTCAATGAGAATGAAAGAAAGCATACAGAGTAACTTCACTGATTCTTCTTATAAATGTTGCATAGTTTTTCAGCATTTTTCTGTATTAAAACACACCCTATACCGTGTGAGTAAAAAAAAAGTTTACACCTAGAAATTGCTGATTATTTTAACAAGGGAAACGCTCTCGGCGGTCTCGCCTGCATTACGCAATTCGATATGATGAAAAATTGAAGTTTGGACTCGCACTGTATAATGACAGAAATTTCAAGAAGCATTTTAACTAGTAATCACATAACATGTTGCAATAACTGAATGAACTACTCAAGTCACTGTATATGATACAAGCAAATGTGTCATAGTCATTTGGGAATTGAGTTTCGAGTTTTACAAAACAGGCCCTGAATTTAAATATGAAACGTAAATAATATTTCTGCTTATACAGCGCTTAATTCATCGGCAATGTCAAAGTTTTTAAGCGCTTTACATTATTACACCGGTCATCAAATTCTGGCTTGCCCGCACACAATGTGTGCACTTTCTCCACTCCTTGGGGAGCATTCCAGCAAAAGCTACTAGGCTCAAATTGCCAAGCATACTACATTGGCTTTCGCATCCTACCGGGACCCATTTAATACCTGGGTGGAGAGTGACAAATGTAGATCAATGTCTTGCCAAAGGACATTAGTGCCGTGGCGGTACTCGAACTGCGGACCTTGTAATTGTTAGTCCAGTGACGTATCCACTCCACCACAACATCTCTACGTAATATCCCAATCACCATCGCCATTTCTTACCTGGCCTGAGGGTCTGTGTGTATCCGATTCCAACTTGGCTGGTGTTGCTGACCTTGGCATTCAGGGAGGCTTCAGAGTCTAGCACGTATTTGGCGCCCAGGGCAAAGCGGGTTTGGTTGGTGGTGGAAGCCCAGCCAACGTTGATGGCTGTCTGCAGGCTGTCGTTCACCTTCTGGTAGATGGAGCCACTGAAGTCGGATCCCTCGTTCCTGTGGGTGAGATTAAGGCAAGAGAACATGAAAGCACTGAATTACTCTTATAGGTATTGGGGTAACTTTGCCTCAGATTCTGAAACAAAATCTTGCATTTAGCTCATTGTGCAATGATAATTATAAACTTTTAGGTCAGTAAGGAACCCCATGACTTTAACAAGATGATCGCATGTCTGATTATCAAGATATTTATGATTGAAAATTAAAATTTCAAAATTTGTTTTCCTAATGCTTTTTACAACTCTACAGTCTAAAATGAGTCAGGTAAAACCGGTCACTCAAAAGATTTAAATCTTTTTTGATCATTTTGAAGCTCAATTTTTGTTAGGGATTCAATATTACACCATATCACAGACACTAGGGCTGTGCACAACAGTGTAATGAGGTACCCGAGTACACTCCCAGGCTCACAGGCGAATACTCGAGTATTCGGACGCCATGTTTTTTTATAATTTTTTTTAATTTTTTTAAATTTTTTTTAATTTTTTTGATTTTTTTTTAATTTTTGGATTTTTGGATTTTTTTCCTTTTTTCTTCTTTTTTTGCCACTACCACACCACTCGGCAGTTTCTCAGGTCCCTCGCGCAGCTCGCTGAAAACGCATGCGACTTTACTTTGAGTTGCAGTTGAAGGCGCCGATTTAATAAGAATAATAACAGTAAACAATGCTGTTTTAAAAACCAAAGATGGCAGAATAATCCATTTTCCTCCAAGTCCAAACAGAAATCTGGACATTTGGTCCCAGTTTCTGAAAGGTGAGTTTGACAGTGCTTGAGTTGGGAAACATTTTTACCGACGGTACCATGCCAGCGGATGCTGCTCTCCCTGGCACGGCTAAGCGTGGGCCTGGACATTTTTTTTTTCTGCGGCCGAATATTCGGGTACAAGAAATCGTACCCGAGTAGTTGTCAACCGTGCGGGTACTCGAGCATTCGACTACCCGTCGCAGCCTTAACAGACACTGATAATACGTAGGGCAATGCATCTCAAATTTAACATTGTTAAACGATGCCTTTAACAAGGGTCCAAGGGAAAATATCCATAAGTTATATTTGCACATTTGTCCCAGAACACTTTTGAAATGATTAAGTTCATGTAATGACCGTCATACATAAACACTTTAAAAATAATAACATTAAAAGTGACTGTAATATTGGGTTATCGCGGTTACCGTGCACAGAACTATGCAACTAAAAGAATACAATCCAAGTCCTGAATGCGCTATTCTAATTGGTTGAAAATCACTTGAGCTTAACATTTTATGCAAGAGGCCCCTACAATTTTTTCACATTCATTGATGGTGTACCCCCCCCCCCCCCACCCCCGCTGCACTACAGATCCGAGGAATTTTATTAGAAAAGAAATTCTGATACACAAAAGGTAATATAGTATATGATCACTAAAATATTAAATTCCCAGTATTCTCCTACAATGCATAAAAAAACAAATAAAGTAAGCTTACACAGCTGTGTGAAGTTGGAAATCAGCTGTCTTGTAGCCAAGAGCAAAGTTGCTCTTCTTCAGTTTTGATTCAGCTGTGTCGAAAGAAACCTGGAAACCGGCGAGCCATCCCTCATACCTGTTACAATAAAAAGGACAAAGGATAAAAACGTGAGGAATTTTACATCCATGCAAACCAGATTTTCATAGCTTATCGGGTATTAGACATTTTAAGCAAAACACAAAACTTGAATTTCCAGATGTTCTTTAGTTGTTACTTTGCTTAGTAGAAAATAGCAAGACATTCTCAATTCACTTGAAATGCAGAATTTAACAAATCTTTGTCTTGTCCCAAAAATTTCTTTCTGATAAGTTGTGATTTCATACTTGGATAAGTTGGATACTTAACCTCCAAATTGGTCATGTTCATAAACTGCTATCATCTAAAAACTAAACAGCATTAATGAATGTATATTTACCCTACTACACCGGTACTGTGTACTGTTGGTCCTGCAAAGTCAAAGTCTACGTCTGTGGTGATGTTGATAAAGTCCCTCTTGTATGCGGTCTTGATCTGACCACTCTTCTTACTGCAAAAAAGATAAAACAAAGATAAAACAAATAAATTATTAGAGGATTATTAGGAACTCTATGACACATCTAAAAGGTATTTGACTCTCAATTTGTCAAGGTCTATGGTTCATACCATAGCACAATGAGAGAGAGTTGTGACATGTGCATCTATCCGTAAGTGAGCGGGTCATAAGTTACATCATGTTGCTCCAAACAGTTCCCTCCAACGTACAATCTCTATAAGGGGGAAACTATTTGGAGTTTTATAAAATAATAGACCAATTAGAAGCAACTTCTGGTAAAGTAACTATCTCTCTCAGGTAGCAATGGTATAAACACCTTCCTCAGACATTGACTGGCAAACTGAAATTAGCAACCAGTTTTACAATCACTTCAACATGTTCACATTAATGATTCACTTATACAATCGCTAGTAGATTATTAAGTTATTTACTTCGTCATACTGACTTGCAGTTATAAGGTTAAGTGTGACCATATGACACATGTCACAGATGTTCTCCCTTCTCAACATACATTACTAAATTAAAGATTTCTTATTTAAACCTTTAGAAAATACTAACTAATTGCAGTCTGCACACTTACAGAAATAAAGCGAGACTTTTTAAATTATTGTTTTGGATCAACTAAACTATTCAATATCAGAGCACTCGGCAAGTTTCATTTGTTTTTTTATTCTAACATTACCAGTAACAGATTTTTCCCTTCTACATCTCATACTAATGTGACAGACACTTAATGCTGGGATTTTAGCCTCCCAAATTTTGATCAATTACAGTCACATCTGCAACGGGGGATAATCAGAATGTCTCTCTCTACAAACAAATTGGTAGAAAAAGAATATCTATGTACAGTTGCCATCTTTCCTGTTTCCCCAAGAAGACTTTTGCAGAGATTTGCAGAGATTTATGAAGAATGAATTTCAGTGAAAATGATTAGGTACATGTAACCTTTTGGCATTCCAAAGAAATGGAATATGAAGATTGTAAAGCACACACATACCCGGTCTGTGGTGAGAAACTCGTGTCAAGTGTGAGTTTGACACCCTGTGCAATCTGGTCCTCAATTGTTACTTCTGTTGCTAGAGTATTGTCTGTGTTCCATTTCTCCTTGAATGATAGACCTATCAATCATAATGTACAGACATAATATCACATGAGTACATGTAAATGTATATGATCATGTCACGCCAAAAATTACTCTACAGTAATGTTCAGTGTAAGCCACCCTAACATAAATTTGCTTTGAATAGACATGTGATTAAAAGTTTGACGGAATTTGATAACAAATAGAAGATTTTTTTATCAATTTCTTAATGAAAAACACCAAGGAGAAATGAACTGCTCAATTTTAAGTGTAAGATACTTTGTTTCATAAAAGAACAGATTATAATAGATGTAATCAGAAAGAATTCTTGAATTGCTATTTTTCTTTACAGACGATGTTTATGTCAAACTGTACCTGGAAAAAGTATCAAAGGTCTTCCTACAATAAAACAATTAAAATATTGATAACAAATTGTTTGTACAGAGCACATGTTGTCTGCGGAATTATGTAGGGATCTTCGAAAAGAACAACAACATAACATAAACCTCTGTAACTCTATAATCCTTCACGAGACTTCTCTCAAATGTTCAATTTCTTGTATTTACTAAAAACTTATTAAAATTAGCTTGATTTCAGGGTGGGCTTTTAACGTTTTTCCTTATACTAACTTGAATTTCCTTTGAAAAAATTAATAGTATTATAAAAGTGGTTCGGAAGCCTGTTTCTTTTTGATCTGATTTTGCATTATTTTAACAGGATAGCCTGTCAGCATGTAATTTTCTCTTGTACATTTAGCTTCAATTGCAATGTCACATAAAACAAATCAAAGATTCTCTGACTGAGTGGTGGACATACATACCATACTCTTTCCATGAATACTTGGTTTCAAGGCTGGCGTCAACCTTTCCTGTATCGTTATTTGAGGCTGATGACACGGTGAAGCCCTACAAGGAAAGAAACAAACATATTGTCTTCAATACAAAGTGACTGTTGAATAAGTACATATCAAGCCTATACTAGTCAAAACTTATGTCTTCAGCAGAATCCTTCTAACATTCTGTAAATTAATCCACGTCAGGTGATGACAGACTTATTTGGACAATTGAGATAAAAGTCCTCATATTGCACAATTTGCTACTAGACAACATGAAAAAGAAAGGAAAAGAATCATGGCAAGAATGTACAAACTAACAAACATTAAAATCTGGACAATTTTCTTTTTGTATTTTTTTTTCTTGCTTATGTGTGTTTTTCTGTTTTTTTTCTTCGAGAGCTAATGAGAATTTGAAAAAAACATGTAACGTACATGTACATGGGGCATTATAACAAAATATTCCTGATTAAATGATTGAAATTAACTTCATACAGAGAAGGTCAAATTAAGTTTTCCCATGTATATAGTTTTACATACTATTGATAAAATTTCCAGCCAGTTCTAAATTTATCATATGGATCTAAAAAAGATATCTTAAAGTTCAGAGATTTCCTCTATATGATTCATCAGGCATTCCTATCCTAAGAGCACACACCCAAAAGTGCACGACTGTAGTTAGATCTGAACTAGATGGTTTAATGTGATAACAAATTTATATTAGAATGGAAACTTACCACATTATTGCTCGTTGTTGTCTTAGCATCCAGCTTTACAAATCCAAAGCCTGAAAATAAAGATGAGATTAGTGTCAGCTCACTCAGAAAACTTTCACACATAGCAATTTTGGTTTATCTATATATCTTTTACTTGATTTTATACTGACAAGTTGATGTTTGATTTTTGATTAAATATTTCATCTAAAATCTTAATGACCCCTTTCACAACAATATTATTCATTTATCAAGCAGTGAAACAAGAGGGTGAAGATCTAAACTCATTTATAATGGAGTCATTAATAAATACTCAATGTGTACTGTAACAATATAAAAGGGGAAAAAAGTTGATAAATAAAATGTCAAAATTCTCATATTATAGCAAATTAGCAATTTATATTTTATTTCCATCTACCAGTCTATAGTCGTCAAGTCATAGAGAAGTTACCTGTAAAAATTAAAGTCTGTCGACCTGGGTGGTAATTTTATTTAGAAATCGATGGATATTGTTGAGACATTTTAATAAAAATCATATAGGAAGTTTTCAAGTTGGAGGTGGAAACACAGAAAGAGACTTACCGAATCCCTTGCCAAAGATATCCCTGGCAGCCTTTCCAAGGTCGGAATATGAAGAAGGGACAGCCATATTTGAATTGATGTTGGTGGTGGTTGCTGGAGCTGCAGAATGCAAGAGAGAGAAAAAAAGAAATTGTTACTAATCAAGAGGTACATGACAGTGTACAACTTTTTAACACAACTTCAAGCCAAAAATGGCAGCAAGCTAATAATTCAATATAGTCTCCAGGGCGCGACAAACCCGCTTGCCCGACGTCCCGGGGCAACCAAATTGAGCCGTCGGGCAAGTAAATCAAATTATCACTTGCCCGATTCGGGCAAGTGATACTTTTACAGTAATTTCCTAGTGTCCAAGAACTCTACCATTCACCCGTCAACTTCTTACCCGTCGTCAAAATCCAGAAGCAAAAAAGCGATCGTTCCGATTTCGAAAAAACTTCACAGACAGCTAGCCAGCTCAGCTAGCTCAGCGCGCATGCAACAGTGACACTTCAAGCCATGAATGCCGCTCCGCCTCCACGCACGGCCGGCCGTGAGCTAGCTAGAGACAGCTAGCGCGATCGTACCAGCTGCGAGCTTATTCGCGCTCTCTCTCTCTAGCTCTGCAGGCCGCACCGACAGGCCTTTGCTATTCTCTGATTGCCGATTGGTTGAATCACGCCAAATATGACGTCATTATTCTAGGGAAATGAACACGTGCGAATCGGAATGGAATAAACAACAGGGATTTTCTAGTAAGTACAAAAAGTCAAATGTTTGATATTTATTCATAATGACTGTTAATGATTGTGAACATATTATTTAAAACTCGCTGCTCATATAAATCAGATGAATGTTTTTGTCTCGTTTTCAATTTATTACTGCGTTCTCAAGATCGGACCGAGCGAGTCATTTTGATAATAGTATCGAGACCCCCAGAATATAAGCCGTTGTTGTTTTGTTTTCATGGTTTTAGCGACGTTGTTTAGTCTAGTTTTTCGCATACTTATCCGAGATTTATCGTAAAATATCTTCAATATTATTATTTAGTAAGAATTTACAAATTTTGGCATGATATTTATAGCAGTGAATGATGAAATAAAAATGTCCGTACTTCATTTAAAATAGTTGATTACCCATTATTTACATGACGTTTCTTGATGGAAGAGTTGACCCAAATTACACTGTACATGTATGTGCATTAATTTGCTATCTAAAACACTAACTTATCATTACGAGATAATAAATGCTTTAACCTCGAGTCCTTTTTCGCTTTAAAGTTTTGGGCAAGTGGAAATATTGTTTGGGCAAGTAAATTGAAAACCCACTTGCCCGACAGGGCAAGTGGTGAAAAAAATTCTTGTAGCACCCACTCTCTATCCATTCAAGGTAGAAATACAGCTTAATGGACTGTTGCAAGCATGCATTCGTTCACAAATATAAACTTATCAATAAAAAAAATATATAGTCACAATTGCCTATCTAATATGCGCATTTGGCAAGTGGGAAGTTTAATTATCTTGGTGTAGTATTTGGTGCAGGAGTGAAATTAGAATTTGATTAGGATAGGCAATTGACCACATAACAATCACCAACATAGTATGTGCCGTGAAACTGTCAACCATTTACCATCATTTATGCACCCGACCTACACCATGTACAGTGTACACAATTACAACTCCCCTTCTTTGAATGTCACATGAAGTAGTGCATGTACATGTATCTCTGGGCAGCGTCTCACGAAACCGTCATAAGTACAAGTTCCCCGACATCCCATTGAAACGTGTGTTAAACTTAATACACACATTTCAACTGGATGTCGTTGGACTTGTACTTATGACGGTTTCATGAAACGCTACCCAGGGCGCTAAACCAATGCATTGCATAAAACACAGATGGTTTTACACAGAGTAATACATTGTACATCAATGATATGGCAGCTGTACTCGCCAGTTACCTGACACCTGTGTATAATCAAGGAATTAAAATGATGCTGCTGGTCGTCAACTACATGTATGATGATTGATGACATAATAGGCCATTACGTAATGTAACCAAATTGATTGCACAAAGCTTTGTTAAGTGCCTCGTATGCAATTTGAATTTTGACTATTGAAACTTTTTGTAATGGGTGAAAGAAAAAATGTGTAAAATGGCACAACAAATATTTGTGCGCTGAATTTAATTACATTATGGAAATGGTCTATTACATGAACATCTGTCTCTATAAAACAGCCCTCGAGTAACAGGTGAGCATTTTATGCACATCACAATGAGCAAAATTCATTTTTTACTACCGGTAGTACATGTACATGTAGACTAATAACCTTTGAACATGAGAACAACTTTTCAAAAGATTGTTTAAACCCTGAAGGGCTGCATAAAGTAGTTTTATTGGAAGTACATTTAAGGAGGACTATAAACATGCTTCTTTGTGATGATGGAACTACAACTGACAATTGCGCAATTCAATTTGCATTTGGTTCTGATGGGTCTGTGTATAGCAGAGACCAGTGTAGTAGCACTTGCAGAAAAAGAGGAAAGGTGTTATTTAATGCATTTCCTGTATTCCAGGGAATCGGATTAAAGGTCGAATTTCTGTAAATTATCAGCCAAACAGCGGAAAACCAAGGGGAAATGGTTAACCACATACGACATAGCTATATTTGTAATTTTGTATACGCAAAAATGTATCAGATCAACAATCTCCTACATAAAAGATATATCCTGCAAGCAAGTAGCCAGGATTTTATTTTATGGGCTGCGGTAGTGAGCACGCTAATCACTAACAGATTGCGCATAACGCGCTCCCTAGGGGGGTGGTGCAGGGAGGGGGGAGAAAGCCTTGATGTTTTATTAGATTACTAGAGAAAGAAGGTGATTTGTTGTACAGTTCTCGACTCTTAAGCCTTGTCTAAATTCAGTTTCTATTGAAAGTTCATTAAATTATTAGAAGACGATACGTTGTACCGTTCTCGACTCTCAATCCTTTTTCTTCCTACGTCCTCTTCCTTTCTTCTTTCTCTCTCTTTTTTTTTGTTTTTTGGCTCGATTTTTTTTTGAGGCAGAAACAATGTTTAAAATCGCCGTTTTGACCAAGATATTTTTTTAATTTTGCATGATCGCGCAATGCACGTAAATGTAGACTGCATATGGATGCATGCAATCTCTATGGAAAGGATTCTGGCAATCTGGCACACAAATCAAGGGCGCGATCAGACACCCTACTGTATATAGGGGATCCGGGCTAACTCGGACCAGGGGACAACTCGGCCCAGCTGCAAAAATCTGTCATTTTTTGTCATTTTACCCTAACTCTATCCCTAACTCTAACCCTAAACCTAACCCTAAACCTAAACATGCAAAAAATGACCGTTTTTGCAGCTGGGCAGAGTTGTCCCCTGGTCCTATTTAGCCTGACTCCTATATAGGGTATCTCCAGTCAGGAGTTCAAAATCAAAGTCTGGATATGATTCTCAGTAGGGGTGCTGGTCCAAGAATATTTAAGAAACATCCGCATAACGAGGATATCTTTGTAAACGTGGACAAATCGCGTCCTGAAGAACATGAAGAATAAGGATTGTCTGCATTTTTGTGGAAGTTTTTTTTCTTCGGCGCTCTGCAAGTGTTGGGTTACTGATCTGTGTAACAATATACCCCCGGTTAGCCGTCTACTTATATGAGTTGTCTGTCTTCCCACAGATTTATCGTTTATAACGTGAAAGTCTCTGTGCTGCGTAGACCCTAAGTGACAATTTCATCATGGAACATCATCGCAGAAGCCATTTTTCACATCACCAATGCGTGGATTGGACGATCCTTATTTATTAGAATGCAATTTGTCAGCGTTTACAAGGATATCCTTGTTTATGATTTGGACGATCATTATTCTCGGACCAGCGCGCGGCACCTTTCCTGATTCTCGTTCTGTTCTTCTGAACTAACGTTAGCGCCGACTTTTCTAGACACAAATAATTGGGAATACTCCAATGAACTAATAAAATTAACAATTATGCATTCTACTAATAGATCTGGACAGTTCAAAGCATTTTACAATCAGACTTCATTTGTTCTTCGTTCATCATGCTAAATTAGGATATAACAGAAAAAGAGAGCTCATCAAAATCACAGCGAAACGTGTGTGTACGTGTGTGTACTGTGTGTGCAACAAGGCACTGACAAATTCACATCTAGTTTCGATCATGTTTACGCTTTATTCATTAAAAAGAACAACACTCTGAGCTGAAAAAATTAACAAAAAGAAAACATCAAACAATCAAGATTTACAAACTTAAATCATAGGGTCAACATATTCACCAAAAGATGCATAAAATAGTAAAATAAGTGTGGAGTTCGACCTTACCAATTGAGCAAGACGCCGGTAGAAGTTGCAAGCTAACGTACGCGCAATTGATCTAGTACACGTGCATTTCCTATGGAGATAAATCGCGCACGCTTTAAATGGCCTTCACCCAACGAACGCGCATGAGGTCATCTAGTTTTCTACTACAAAGCAATACTCGCACGTACGTAGAAAAGACTGCGGAGGTTACCGGATATGCTTGCACGGTCAAACTTGCTAGGTATTTAGACGGGTTTCTCGGTTTGGCTCAGGGCACGTTATGTACATGCTTGCTTGACGGAGACTAAGAATTGAAACTTGGCACCAATTAAAACTGTCGACCCCGCCCCCTTCGAATATATCTCAATGAAATTCCAAGCAGGGTAAAGTAGGGACTTAAATTCTTGGCTTCAGTTTACTTTTTAGTAAAATGAGCATGACTTTACGTTCACTGTTTACGTTTACAGTAACTTTATCCGTCTCACATTAGGCCTACTAAATCTGCATCTCTCTCTCTCTCTCTCTCTCTCTCTCTCTTTCTCTCTCTCTCCTTTTCTCTCTCTCTCACCCCTCCCTCTCCTCTAGCTGTTTCTTTTCTTTTCTCTCTTTCGATCACTCTCTTAATTCTACCTCTCTCTGAATTTATCTAGGCTCCAATTATCTTTCACCTTTCATTTCGACTCAACCGTTCTTTCTTCCATTATTTCTTTCTTTCTCTAGCTCTCTTCTTTCCTTTTTGTTTTGTTTATTTGTATCAGAGGCATGGAAAGGATATGGGAGGGTATTGTTAGCTTATAGCTTTAATCACTGTATTTCTAAATTAACAGAATAATTTAGCTAGGTCATTTTCCATTCTATATGTACTTAAACCTCCGTGGAATCAAAACGGAATAGCTCCCTCGGTTCCTCGGGTTCAACTAAAAAAGAATTATGAAAACGGAATGAAAATTATTTCTTTTCCAGGTACAAAGTGGTGGACCAATATGATAAGAATCTTATTTTGGGGGACGAAGATGCAAATACTTTCCGAGAGGAGCAGAAAAATCAGAGAAGTAGACGGGTGAAATTTTTTAAAGGTAATACCAATTTTTTGGACATTTTGAAAATTGGGATGCCCCTGTGGATGTATTATAAGTACTGAAGAAAATAGCCCCTAAAACACTTCTGTTTCCGAGAAAAATTGAATATAAAAATTTACCGGTGCTCCCGGTAAATTTCTGATAAATTTCAAATAGCGCCTATGGCCGTACAATCGTAGCTGCGACCATGAAAATCTCAGAATATGTAGTTGGGATATATAATTTCCAAACGGGAATAGCTACTCGGTCGATTTTAGTCAAGAAACATTGTTTCATAGCTAAATTAATATCTTGACTTTGGAGCTCTACAATATAACGAGTTTATTATCTATAATTTCATAACTTTAGACTCGATTTCAACCGCGACAACGATCAATGTATATTGTAGGAACGCATATGCTTCCAATATGTTAATTTGAACCAAATTCATGACCCCATACCAAAACCTTGTAATACCGTTAATGAAATCGGACAAAAGAAATGGGGAAGTTATGATTTTATACAGTTGTAATCACATTAGTTACGGGCTCTTCGAATTGGCTGAATCGGTCATATCTCTCCGATGAAGCCAACTTGAACCTTTTCCATTTGTTCCTTGACACAAAAATAATTACTGAAATGTCTTTTCTTTTTTGAAATGGATGACTCAGGAGGGTCTAATTTTCTCGTTAGTGGTGGACCTATAATCAGGGCCGTAGCCAGAGTTTGATGGTTTTTTTTTTTTTTTTTTTTTTTTTTTTTTGGGGGGGGGGGGGGGGGGGCACATACATGATGATTGATCGACGTCCTGGGGAGTCTAAAAAAGTTCAACCGATCTTGAACATTTTGGGGGGCATGCCCCCCCCCCCCCCCCGTGGCTACGTGCCTGCCTATAATACTGGTATATGTTATCCATAAAATATTTGAGTAGTGCCCAACGGGAGAAGGCACTTAGGAGAAAAAACACGACAAACGGGAGAGTTATCTGCGACTAGCGCACAATCCACTGACTAAATTGCTAATTTGAAATTCGCATAGACTCACTTATGATCTCATATTTCAAACATTCATAACTTTCTTATTATTGGTCTGATTTATTTCAAACTTTCGCCATCCTGTTTATCTAATTTTTCTGCTTTCACATGATTGAACCTACTCTAAGGATGGATTGACCGTACATAAATAGTTTTTTGGTCAAGTTTTTTGGGGGCCACTGGTCCTCTCAACATCTCTTCTTTATCATCTGATCAAAGTATTTTTAAATCATAGAGGATCATGGATTGTGTATTCTTGACATTAACAGCAAAAGAAGAAGGCCATCTGATTTTGTGGTACAATTTTACTCAAAATATTATGGGAAAGGCAAAAAAGGGGAGGGGCTTATTTCGGACTCCCCCCCCCCCGCTTATTTGCCGCTAAATATTTTCTCACAACTTGGGCAAAACAAAAAATGCTCCTTTCCTCTGAAACTCGTCTAGTACCCACCTATGTGCACATAATTATGTTCATAATTTATGGGAGCGAGCGAGCACAAATGACACCTTCAATATCATGTTAAAAATATTTGATGTAATCAACACTAGATAAGATATGAAATGTAATATATGCGGGCACTCCACCACCAAATATATATGAAATGAGGATCTTCAGGCATCTTGTTGCCCCGAAACTCTCATGTTTCTAAATGTTTAGAGCGAGTGAAGCGATCATGGCAAAAATGCAATTTCAATGTAAAAGATTTATATAAAATAATTCAGGCAAATCGCTGTCAATAGAATGATATTTAGGCACCTCGTTGCTAAAATATGCATGCACTCAAGCACTTCGCTGCCTGAAATCATCCGTTTCTAAATAATGCAAGCGAACAAAGAAGATATACACTTTTCTTCTTATAACGCTGCTCCCTATATATAACGGTTTCTAATATTTGGTGTTTCACAAAATCATTGAGATGTCTTGCAGCACCCCGGATGAAAAACGCTGCCTAATACAGTCACAACGTTCTAGAAAACAAAACAAATTGTAGATCAATATATTTAAGTAGAAGAAATAACCTTTTATTATAAAAGTATGTCAAAAATATATAATATATATTTACCTCTACCATAAAGAAGCATACATGGTACATCAAGATACATGTTCAGCCCTTACAGTTATATTCTGCCTTGTTACATTAAAATAAATGTTTCCCCATACCAACATATTGGTTTCTACTTTCTGATCCACGAATGACCTTGTAAAACAAGAATGCATTTAATAGATGAATATGTAATAGGTGATTATCAAGTATGTCCTATGATGACCAGAATTTTATAAAAGAATTGTTGTTCACTTGATGTCTATGTATTGTATGCCTACCAGCACACTGTATTGCAGGAGTAATAATAAACCAGTTTAGTCAGTGCAATGTATTTAATTTAATTTATGAATACCTTTTGAGTTTTGAACAAAAGTAGCTTTTTAAAACCTTAAAGAAATTATAGGAACAACTAAAATATGTAAAGTGGGTTCTATACACAACATGTGTCATTGGTAGGAAGAACCATTATTATATTTATTTATTCATTTGATTTGTTAGATATCTGGAACTTCATGCCCTGTAGATTACATTTTGGCAATTCACACATCATAATTTATTTTGGCTTCCACACTACAGTGAGGATTTTCAATTTTATAAACTTTGCATGAGCGCTTCATCATAAAAGAATTAGTGGCACATGATCAGTTGCAATACATCTTGGTATACAGCAAAATAATGACTGGGTTAATTTAAGAAGTATAAACAAGGGCATCAAATGAAGACATAGTGTTTCTCATTCTTTAGATCTGAAAATATATGAAAATACCATGGAACTGTTCAAGAATTCAGACAGGAAAAATAAAAAGAAGACGTTTCTCACCATTGAGAATAAAAAGCACAGGTAAAAAGATTTCAGCAGAGAAAAGGAAGATAAAGATATCACTCAAAGGTTAAAAACACACAAATAAATATAAACAGTCTGCATAAAGATTGTAGGAAACTTTGAGTTGCTTTCATATTTTGACACGATTTAACAGAAGCAAAATAATTTCATACTTTAGATAAAAACATAATATTAGCATTACACACAAGAAACATAAAAAGTCTGAAGTCATAGAAAACTGTGAGTTGATAGCATATTTTGACAAAATCTAACAGAAGCAAACAAATTCTACACTGTTGATAAAAAACGTAATATTACACACTGATAAACAAAAGTATTTTGCATAATGTTAAAATAAATACACTTCATACATTAATGATTGTTTAAAAAGCACTATTACACTGTCCACACAGCACATCTAAGCCAACAACTGTCAGCTGATACATGGATATATATAAATACATAAAACATAGAAAAGAATATTTGCTAAAATCTTTGAAAAGACATTGACCATCCATTATGCATCCATACATTTTGTAATGAAATCTCACTTAACTCCTAAATTCAAGTTGGAACTTGTTTTTATGCATAATAAATGTAATGTTTCGAGTAAAGAATAAAAGTTGCATGATTGAAAGAAATGATTGTTCAATAGACAATTCTAAAATATATGAACATTTTAAATCTCTATCATCAAAACCAAAAATAGAAATAATAATAATAAAAACTCTCTTTTAAAACACACCTCATCAATGCCTATAACCCATTATCAATGGGAGCCAGGGCCCAGGGGGTGTTTCACAAAGACTAAGATCGACTTTAAGTTGGACTTACATGTAACTGTGGCAGGCCATTAAGGCCACTATTTGCTCTCACAATTAGGATCTTTACATAGTATTTTTTCCTTCAATAATGAATTATCAAAAAACATAAATTCTGTAGATTTGTGACCATGATTTATACGTCCCTTGAGAGGCAAATGCCAGTAAATAGTGAGAGCAAATGGTGGCATGAACGACCTGCCATATGTAAGTCCAATTTAAAGTCGATCTTAGTCTTTGTGAAACACTCCCCGGGTAGTCCCTGTATTAAGCTTATGGGAATTAGAGACTTCAGTAGTTAACAGGTTAAAAACAACAACATGATTGTTATTAACACATTCTGGATGCAAAAAACTCTTGCAATGGTTGTTTGGCAAATTGAGGTTTTAAACTAGGAAGATGGCACATGTTATAGAAATTAAAGATATAATAATGATATCTTCAAGACATTGCAAAAGAACAATTTGATTGATTTAAGTATTGAAAAGAGTACTTCTACATGTAAGTAGCAAATTCTGATCATCACATAATCAGATTTAAAAAATAAACACCCAGCATAACTGTAATCCCACACTGGGGTAGGAAATACACATGTGATTGTCCAGTTAGCATTAAGCATTAACGTTCTGCATAGAAACAAAAAATATTGCAATGGTTGTTTGACACATTGAGGTTTTAAACTAGGAAGATGGCACATGTAATAGAAATGAAAGATAGAATAATTATATCTTCAAGACATTGCAAAATAACAATTTGATTGATTTAAGTATTTAACAGAGTATTTCTAGATGTAAGTAGCAAATTCTGATCATCATATAATCAGATTTAAAAAATGAAAACCCAACATACCGGTAACCTGTAATCCGATGCTGGGGTTGGAAATTCACAAATGATTGTCTAGTTGGCATTAATTTGATTTTGTTTTAAAACAACAATTATTCATTATCAGCTACATTTGCATGTGATCTTGAGGCAGCAGACAGCAAGAAACACTTGGCTTGGGAAAGTACACAGGAAGTCTACACTAGAAGTTACAATTACCCCAACCGATGGAAGTCTTACTTATCAATATGAATATTATCATAAATTATTGATAGTTTAAATTAAACAAGTTAAAGGTAAAGACCAGTATTGGCAACGCCCCAATTTCAAAAAATGAAATGGAAGCTCTCATTACCAATCATGTGAAAGAATATGTTTTGACTAATACATGATGATAAAAAATTTGCCGGGAAACCGCCTACTAATTCATATATTTGGTAAATTTATTTCTCTCATGGTCTGGTGAGAGAGATAGGGTAGTCCCATATACATCTTTCTGTGTATAGTGCTTGTAACTTTACGAAGAATGAGCCAAATTTCTTATCATTTTGATGATTCCAGAACCTTGCAGATGCTAGATGCTAGATGATCGACCTTTTCTGATCGATTCCACAACGTTTCTTTCACAATGCAATCGCATGACCATTACTGGTCTTTACCTTTAACTGCACTACTCCTACAAACAAGAAACTGTGTGAAGGAATCACTTGGCTTGAGAACTTCCACAAGAGTAGATGAAAGCTTGACTACTAAATTTAAAGGCTGGTAGAAACCTAAAGTATATGTTTTGATGAAAGTTTCCTGTATCATAAAAGGAGCAATTTAAGGGTGTGGGGTAAAGTTAATTATTAATTTTTGATATAATATAATGTAAGTAGAAAATCTTTGGTATTACCCTACATGTACATGTTCATCAAAACATAATATCTGTTAGAAGTCAAAAGAGCATTTACTCCTTATATATGAATTAATACCCCTCTGGCTCTTGACAGACAATAAATTGTACAGCTTTACAATTGTACTGTTATAGCATGATTTAGTGTCTTTCCCCCGTTAGATATTTATAAACCAACGCAGAATACTGCTCTGATGTAAAATTGGTCTTGGATTCTACCAGCTCTCTCAGAGCTTTAGCTCTCTTTGCATGCTCATCATGTAACTCAATGTACATTTGAATAGAGCTACGTGATTTAGCGCTGAAAGCCTCAGGCCTCGGACAGGCATAATGCTCCGGTTTGGCAATGTGTGAGATTTCAGATTTGCCTTCCTTCTTTGCCTTGAGGTTTTGATGTAAACGATTACAGACAAGACACTCAAGACCCTCTATGAAGTTTGGCCGGGTATAGTCATTCACGCCCCACTCTCGATTTTTCATCGTCGAGATGAGATGAGGATTTGTGGCACCGACTTTCTTAAAATTCAGTAGCTTTTCATAAGCTTCATCATTGCTGTCTAAGTATATCAGGTGATCTGCAAGCTCTTTTGGTGATTTGTAGTCATCCACAACGATAGCAGAGTGATCGTCAGGTAGCCAGTCACGGACAGACGGTGAGCCCCTGTATACAGGCACTGACCCCGCTATGAGGGGGCGCCATAACTTTTCAGTGACATAATCTTCACACAGTGCATTCTCAAAGGCAAGCGTGAACTTGTACTTCGACACGATCTCAAAAAAGTTGCTCTTGAACATGGTGAGAGGGTTTGTGAGTTCCTGCGGGAGGTCTTTGTTGTGAAGACAGGCGCCATAGGAATCAATACGGATATGCTTCATGAGCTCTTGGACGTAGCTATCCCTATCAGACGGTGGATTACAGTCGCTCTGGACGTACAAGACAGGGGCCAGCCCCGCCCGTTTCTTTTCCTCCAGAGTCTTTAGATACTTCCGACTCTCCAGATCCTCCAAGCTCTTTAAGTACTGTGTTGTTATGGGGAAGTCAGAGTTCCTCTTGAATGTCGCTGTGTGGTTGAACAGCGTCAGGCATTCTGGATGCGTCAACATGTAATTGTTTTTCGGTGACTCCTCGTGGAAGAGTGCCCATTCGTGATGCGGCTTCCTGGGCACCGGGACATCGTCAGGCTTGAAGTCGGTGCCGTAGAACATGAAGGCGCTGGTGTTGGGATGGTGATGGAAGTGGCGGTCGATGGTGAAGAAGCATCGGTCGTTGCCACATGTCTTGACCTCACCTCTCTCGCCGCTGAATGGAGTCCACCACATGATGATGGGGTGTGGTATGGTCAGCTTGGATGCATCCACATGGTTGATGTCATGCTCATCATGGCCATCTGAGGAGGAAAAGAAATGAGAATGAATGGGTTTAATGATCAGATTTTAATTCATGTAGGATGAAAAAATGAATGTCCAGGTACATGTACATAAAATTGAGATTACTGTAGTTTGACGAGATAATATCTTTCCTTAGGATTCACAACTTGAACATCCCCCCCCCCCCATCCTCCAGAGAATGACCCCATGGACAATCCCCCTGGTGTGAATTTGGGGAATCATACTGTGTGGGATGCTTGGAAGGGAGTGGGATGAAGACAATTAAACAATAAACTTATAAAAACAGACAGAATCTGGACAAGAGGTGGCCCAGTGACATGTTTCGCTGTAGGTGTGCAAATAAACAGAAAGCAAACATACAAGTCAGCACACAAAGAAAGTGCAAAAGCATCATCTCAAAGGAGTATACTTGAACCATTCTCCTTGGCGAATCCTGTCAATAGCAACCTCATTTGAAGCATGAATAGGGTGTCGCGAGCTTAAGCAATACCAGTACAATGATAGCTATATGCACAGCAAAAAGCCAGGAAACTTCAAATAGGGACATTTAGGGACATGTAGACCCACAGCGTATGTACATGTAGCTGTACATGTAACCCAAATGCTTATGAAATAGAATAAGTAAAGAGAACCCAAACAAAATAAGTAAAATGATCTGAAAGTGGGAAATAATAGAGCTTTTGGCATGTTTATTTTTGCACAGATGAGACCTGATCAAAATACAAAAAAGAGTGGGAGACTTGGAGTAACTTGCACCATCCCCAACATAATTTTGAAAGTATCAATAGTTGGACAGCTCACAGCTGTCATCTCGAATGCAGGCAGCAAGGTAAAGTCTCTGTAATTTCTAAGTCATATCTGTACATGTAGTACATGGACAATAAATTACATTATCACTTTAGTAGAGTGTTAAAACTTTTGTTCACCCACTTCAAAAGCACTAGACCCAGGTGTCAATATTCCAGGAAAAAGTTACATTTTTACTGTTGTAAAAATGTAAAGTGTTACAATTTTTGTTCATGAATACATTGACAAAACAGAAACAGCAAACAGGTGTTGAAATTCAGGCAAGAAATGTCAGCACCCCCTCCCACACACACACACACACGCACCTGCAAAAGGCCCAATGATTGTGCCTACCGGTACATGTATATACCTATGGCCAAAGCTGATAGATAGATAGAAACTACTGTACACGCGTACACTGGTCATTGTCTCGTCTCTGTTGGCATCCCTCCCCCTCCCTTTTCCCCCTATTTTGTAGTTCCTTTTGTAGTTACGGACATGTTAATTTAATTACTCATTATTCGTAGGTATCATTTGAGGTGTCCACACTTGTACAAGCATTGCTTTTTAGTGATCCATTTGCTGTAAATGTTTATAATTGATTTGTAATGTTTTGTTGGAAACATAAACGAATTGAAATTGAAATTGGTATGAATGAAAGGAGAAGGAAGAAAGAAACAGGTCAGGAAGTCTCCATAAATTAAGATTCAGACAAGAGGGAGCCGGGCAGACGGAAATGCACAGACAGACAAGAGGGCAAAGGTTGAGATCTGAGATATGTCTGTGTTAGACAAATCAGAACATGATTGTTGTGAGAACTTTCTAATTTCCTTGTTTGAGGCAGTGTTAGATATCATCATTGGGTAAAACCCACAACATCTGTCAAGAACAAAATGAGACACATGTACACATTGGGCACTGGTACCTGGCAGGAATTAATTCCTTAAAATGCTAGAGTGCCGTAATGGTAGCAATGCTAAAGCCTTGGTATTAATCTCCCTCTGCGCCTCAGAATAGTTTACTTATTTTACTAGAACGATAATAAGTAATGTAGTATAGTAGTATTATTACAATACTACAATTGTACATTTATATCCACACCCTGAAAAAAAGAAAGCATGACAGCATAAAATATCCATAATGCACTACATATACATTTCATTCTTGATGCTGTTGTTTAACTGAATTGATTAATACATCATCCAGATCGACTCCTAAATATATAAATAAAGTGCATATGGAAGTTTATGCTAATAACTATAACACTCTACATTGGATCTTATGCTCAAGCTCCTTCTACACCATCTTTTTAACAGAACTTTCTTATTGTCCTTTTCACCAAGGACAATGTTAAGTGGTCCTCTGATCTCCTTCTTTCCTCGCACTGTTCGACAGTGGAACGCTCTCCCTCTTGAGGTTGTCCTGGCTCCATCAGTGGAAGCCTTCCAGCGACAACTATTAAAAGACCGGGGGGAAGTAAATTCCGGCAATTTTTTTACTGGCACTATGTATATATATACACCTCTCACCTGCACACCTGGACATCCCCATGTCGCCACACACATGCACTCGCACACATCTGCAAGAATCTTCAGCAGTGAAGGAGGCAGATTATTTTGAAGAAGAAGAAGAAGAAGAAGATCTCCCCCTGAAAAAGATTTATTGTCCTTCCTCAAAAATCAATACAGTAACATGTCATTATTCAGTTTCACATTCAAGCTATTTATACAAGTCCATACTCAAGGTGGCAGACAAAGACAGATTTAAGCAATAATGGGCAATTGTTAGATCAGGTAAAGCAAGATTTTATCACCTAAAAAGCACTTACTGTATAAAAAGGAAACACAAAAGAAGGGATTAATTAGAGCTTTATTGTTAACCAAGGCATACAATTTGTCCACTCTGAAACTCTGAAAAAGCCTATTGTGTGCTTTAACTGTCTCAGATAACTGTTCCCTTCCTCTTGGAAACTAAATAGCGTCATTAAACAGGGAATGAACACCTTGGGATTATGGCCTGTGGGATGTACTATTGTATAAGAGTACCAGTACAATTCTATGACAACTATCCTGATTTACTAGTTAGCAGGCACAAATCCTTCTCAGTATCTGCAAAATGAGACTACATTAGGCTCTATACTGTACTTAAAGATAAAGTTGAGTTCTGGTCATGTGATTGCATTGTGGAAAGAAACATTGTGAAATCAATCAGAAAAGGTTGATCATCTAGCATGTACATGGAAGTATTGGTGTGTACTGCAAGGTTCTGGAGTCATTTTTAAAAAAGGTAAGAAATTTGGCCCAGTCTTGGTAAAGTTACAAGCAGAAAGATGTATGAGAGTACACGAACATGTGGCATAAAAATCTGTCCCGCTTTCTATGATGTTACATGCCATATTTAGAATATTAAGGCATTTGAAGAGCAGCAGAGCCATGCTTCTCAGGGAACATTTTTTATCTGATTTTTTTACTTGCATGCAATACAATGATAATGCTCACAAATTATTTTTTCACCTCTTCCCAGAACTCAATTTTCTCTTTAAGCTGGCACAGATAGAAACTGACAGATCTAGGCTCTGCTCAAGGCTTTAGGACTTGTGGTAAAGTGTCAAATTAGAGCTTGTGCCTTCAGACCAGACAAAGGTTGACATCTTGTATTGTTGTTTTGTTTTACCTGACTGCTAAGAAAGCATGTGTATTGTACTGTTGGAAGTAAGCAACTGACGGCTTTAAGTTTTCTTTGAGGGTCTGGGTAATGAGGACTAATTATGCCTACAAAACAAAAGTCACTAGCGCAACAACTTGATTCTGAACCCAGACGTCCCGTTTATGAGAACACTGCTCTACCACTGAGCCATAGCAACACATCTATAGGATGTACTCCCCCCCCCCCCCTTAGGACATTCACCTCCCCATAGTCTAAATCTAGAACTTTGCATGCATGAATCTTTTACAAACTTATGATAGCTTGTGACTTAGCCTTTTCACAGCAAGAAATTTGTGCAAATTCTTTTCAGGGGGGGGGGGGGGGGGTAATTGTTATTAGGTGAGTAATTATCTAGCCAGGCCAGTTTATCTGGAGGCAAATTGTCTGGAGGCAAATTGTCTGGACGCAAATTGTCAGGGTATGACATCTGTCATCATGCCCATTGGCTAAATGTCTTAATCCGACTTTCAACAAAATATGAAAGAGCTCTGGTGAAAAAAAAGAGATTGAGGCAATTTTCTTGATGCAATGTTGGCCCTCATTGAACAAGGGGACTGCTTCACAAGTCTGCATTAATTAGTTGGCAGGTTATGGTACTACATGTACTGAAATCAGAATCAAAATTACAGGAAATTACAAGTAATTACCGGTAAAACAAATTAGTTCTTAATTACCTCAGCTGTGATTTAATTGCTGGATTTTAACGACATTTTATCAAAGTGTGGGCATATACTGTACGACTGTATCTATCTAAGACTAGGAGAATAGGGATCTTTGAAAGCACTGAATACCAGAGGGAAGCTACAATAAAAGTATTTCCTTCCTAGTCTTGGGCTATCTGTAGTTTTGCTTAAAGGGGAAGTCCACCCTGAAATTAAGTTAGTTTTAATAGGAGTAGAAAAATGAGAGAAACAAGTCAGTGAAAGTTTGAGCAAATTCCGATTAAAAATAAGGAAGTTAGGATTTTTTAAGTTGTGATCAATCAAACACAAATTGGCAACTCTATGACGTATCATGCAAGCTCAACTTCCATTTGCTCAGTACTAAAAAAATCTAAAATTTTCATTTTCCCTCAAGAAAAATTTCAACCATACATGCACCCTAAATATAATAATTGCAAATATGTTTCTTTACTCCCCCTGCAAGGAACAAATATATATTCCGTCATCAATAACGAAGAAAACATGATTTTATGGAATATTATGCACAAAGCAAATGAAGGAGAGCTCGTATGATAAGTCACAGAGTTGTCAATTTGTATTTGATTGATCACAACTTCAATAATTCATAACTTTCTTATTTTCATTCAGAATTTGCTCAAACTTTCACTCACCTGATTTTCTTATTATTCTGCCTCTATCGAAACAAACTTATTTTGGGGGTGGACTTTCCCTTTAATATCAAGTAGAATTTGTCCACACTGACAGACTGTACTAATACCAACTATGTTGAAGTAGTAAGTCTTGTATAATATGCATATAAAAGCTTGCAGTTTTCTCCTTGTAAA